TTTTCTTTGTTGAAGAGCGTCTGTGCAGTCCTTGTGCCTAGTCCGCCATCTTGCCGGAACCTCCATCCATTTTTTGAAACATCTTATTCCATCAATTTCTGGAACACTGTATTTTGCCAATGCCTCAGTGCAGCTTGAATTTCTTTTTTCAGTATTATCAATTCTTGATCACATACTACCTCCTGAAATGGCTGAATGCTGACCAATTCTTTTTGGAACAGTGACTGTATTCCTTCCATCTTCTTTTCACACTTCCTGCATCGTTCAATATTTTACCTGTTGAATCCTTCAATATTGCAACTCAAAGCTTCAATTTTTCCTTCAGTTCTTTTGGCTTGAGAAATACCAAGGTGTTCTTCCCCTTTCATTTACTAACTCCAGTTTGCACATTTCATTATAAGACTTTACTCTGTCTTCCTGAGCCACCCTTTGAAATTGTTTAGTTCCTTTACTATTTCTTTATTTGCTTTAGCTATTGTATGTTTAGGAGCTCTGGTGGCGTAGTGTTTAAGGCATTTGACTGCTAACCAGAAGGCTGGCAGTTCAAATCCACTATCCACTCCTCAGAAGGAAGGTTGGGCAATCTATTTCTGTAGAGATGCTGCCTCGGAAACTGAAGGAGGGGTTGCTGTGGATCAGATTCGACTCAATGACAGCGAGGTGTTTTTTTTTTTTTTTTTTTTTTTTAATTTATTCTATGTTTAAGATGTTTCAGAGTTCATTGGACAGTCATTTGATCTTTTCTTTGTAATGACCTTTGTGCTTTCTTCATATATGATGTCCTTCATATCATCCCACAACTTATTTGGTCTTTGGTCATTTGTGTTCAATGTGTCAAATCTCTTCTTAGATTGTCTATAAATGCAGGTGGGATATACTCAAGGCTATAATTTGGCCCTTACAGACTTGTTTTAATTTTCTTCAGCTTCAACTTAACTTGCATATGAAAAATTTATGGTCTGTCCCACAGTCAGGTCCTAGCCTTGTTCTGACCGATGATACATGAGTTTCTCTAACATCTCTTTCCAAAAATGTAGTCAATTTGATTCCTGTACATTCCATCTGGTGAGGTCCATGTGTATAATCACCCATTTATGTTGATACAAAAAGGTATTTGCAATGAATAAGTACCTGGTCTCTATCATGCGATCTCCAGCATCATTTCTATCACCAAGGCCAAATTTTCCAACTACTGATCCTCATTTTGAGCTTTTGCATTCCGATTATCAGTAAGTATTGATTGCATGCTTGGTCAATTTCAGACTGCATGGGTTGGTAAAAATCTTCAATTTCTTTTATTTGGCTTTAGTAGTTTGTTCTGAAATTTTAATAATAGTAGTATTAACTGATCTTCTTTGTATATGTATGGATATTATCCTATCACAGCATTGTACTTCAATATAGATCTTGAAATGTTCTTTTTGACGATGAATGTGATGCTATTCTTCTTCAATTTGGAATTCCCAGCATAGTAGACCATATGACTGTCCAATTCAAAATGGCCATATCAGTCCATTTCAACTCACTAAAGCCTAGGATATCAATCCTTTTATGTTCCATTTCATTTTTTACAACCTCCAATTTTCCTAGATTCATACTTTGTACAGTCCACATTCGAATGTTTAATGAATGTTTGCAGCTGTTTCTTCTCATTTTGAGTCATGCCATATCAGTAAATGAAGATCTTGAAAGCTTTACTCCATCCATGTAATTTAAGGTGGACTATATTTTGTGGAGGCAGCTCTTCCCCAGTCATATTTTGAATGCCTTGCCAACTTGAAGGCCTCATCTTTGGGGGCACTATATCAATGTTCCACTGCTATTGATAAGGTTTTCATTGGTCAATTTTTTCAGGAGAGTGCCCCATCCTTCTTCCTAGTCTGTCTTAGGCTGGAAGCTCTGCTGAAACCTGTCCACCATGGGTGACCCTGCTGGTATTTGAAATACCAGTGGCATAGTTTCCAGCATCACAGCAACATGCAAACCGCCACAGTTCAACAAACTAACAGCCGAGTGGTGGATATTTGGGGTGGAAATGCAAATTCTCAACAGGGGGTGAATCAGAATGTACTAGTTTGAAGTCCTGGATCATTATCTATTTTGGATGATAATCTCCAAGTTCTAAAGAAAAATGATAACCATTATACTTTTAAAAAACAAAAAACCAAACCAAACCCACTGCCATCGAGTCAATTTGGACTCATAGTGACCCCCATTGGGTTTCCAAGGCTGTAAATCTTAATGGAAGTAGATTGCCTTATCTTCGTCCTGCAGGGTGGCTAGTGGGTTTGAACCACTGACCTTTGGTTAGCACCCAAATGCCTTACCCACTACATCATACCCACTGCCATCGAGTTGATTCTGACTCTAAGCAACCCCCACTGGGTTTCCAAAGCAGTAAATCTTTATGGAAGTAGATTGCCTCATCTTCCTTCTGCAGAGCAGCTGGTGGGTTTGATATGCCAACTTTCTGGTTAGCAGGCAAAGTACCCTAGGCACTGCATCATCAGAGTTCTTTCCACTACACCATGGGAGACTTTAAAAGCTCTTTTATATATTTCTTAAAATAGCACAGGCATATTTATTTAATATTTTATACTGTTGTTACAACTGTTACCAGGATAGAAAAAAGGCTGGCTAGCAAAGTATGCTTGATTTAATCTTTTTAGAGTAACTGTAGTCAAAGAAGAAACAATGGGAATGGGAATGAAGAGAAGACTCAGACATTTACCCTAAATATAGCCCTGGCTTCTCTGTGTTTATGCCCAGACTTGCCCAGCTATGATACCTAATGGCCTGTGCCCAAGAGCACTGGACTAAAAGGAGCATTCTTCATGCTCACGGGCTTCTAGGGAGAAAAGAGGTCAGCTTTGGCATGGTTTTCCTTAGCCCAGCTCTCTCAGCTTCTTTATTTTGCCTGTCAGTCACTGATCAATTCTTCTTCCCCAACTCTGACTTTTCCCTCTGCCCTGAAACTTGGATTCATCAGCATTTTGTGTTTTCTGCCATCTGTGTTCTAGTTCTAGTATTTAGTGATGCTTTCTTAATTCCTGTTTGGCCTTTTAGAATGTACTTATACTATTTCTCCCACTGATAAGGTTTTCTTAGTAAGGTATATTACTAAAATCCATTTATAGTGATATTATTGGACAAGGTTTACTTTCTATATTAATAACACCTTGAGAAACTAAACAAAAATTGACTAACTTTTCCCCCCACTTTAGTCACTTTGCTTGAACAAAAACAACTCACATTTAAATTTTCCATTTAAATCTACTGTAAGAGATAACCCATCGAGTCGATTCTGACTCATAGCAACCCTCTTTGGGTTTCCGTGACAGTTAATCTTTACAGAAGCAGATTGCCCAGTCTTCCTTCTGTGGAGTGGCTGGTAGGTTTGAACCACCAACCTTCTGGTTAACAGTCAAAATGCCTTAGGCACTATGCCACGAGAGCCCCTTAAGAAAAAACACAGTGATACATTATTCTTTTCCAGTTCCTCCTTTCCATCTGCCTATACAATCTCCCATCTAACTAACACAACTCTGCCAGACTAATCATACTTAAAACTATTTTCATAACTTTTCATTTGTGCCCTGTTTATGATTCTTTGTATCATTAAATTCACACTGTAGTTTACCTCATGGAGTCTAAACTCACCTCCATACTCTGGTCCTAAGTAATTTACCCATTTTATTTCTCATTGATCATCTTTCTCGTCAAAAGAATAATGACCACTCCCTGGTTCCTTGCCCACTCTAAGCATCCTCTTGCACATGTTTCTCTCACCTGGAAGGCCCCATGGTGCCTTACCTAATCTTCTCTTTTAGGTATTTTAAGGCCCAGATCAAGGTGTGTAAGTTCTGTTACCTCAATAAAGAGAAATCACTGGACTCAGCCAGACGATATTGCCTCCACTCAGCCGTTTTGCTGTAATTAAGATTTTGCTACACTAAGTAAATTAGTATAATTTACAATAAAACAGAAATCTGCTACTGATGCAGTATTTGAAGCATCTTGTTAAGAAAGTTTAGCACAGGAAGGGGTTTGGGCAGTGACATCACTAGGGAGAGTATAGAGGGGTGGGATGGGGGTTGACAGTGGTGCAGAACGAATTGGGTGGCACTGTCACAGGGGGTGACACCAAAATGACTAGCTAAAAAATTTTTGCGCAGTGTTTCAGCAGAAATTTATTATTTTTAATAAAAATATCCCTGTAAGTAGTTACAGAAATAAGACACTTTTTGAATCCCCAGCTTCCTTGTATCAATAAGCCTATAAGGCTAAAACTCTATGCTAATTCACTTTTTGAACCTTTTAATGTGCTCTGGTTAGAGCCGTCATTCTTTCCCAATTACAATTAATACTTCAACTCATATAGGTTTGTCTGCATGTGCTACAAGCACACAGTTGTCTTTGTTGCTGCTGTTTTTACAGTTAATGATTTTGTCAAATTTTCTGGTGTTTTAACTACAATATTGTGGTAAGTAGTATATAAGTGATATAAGTATAGAACCTATATCAAAAACTTCTTGAGAATGAAGAAGGAAAGAGATAAATCAAAAGGGGCTTCTGCTCAATTAAATAATTAAATGTAGAAAGATTTTATAAAGCAATTTTGTTATTAGTATTCATATAATCTATGAACTATTACATTTAAGCAATTTACAATCATATTTATTACATACTATTCTAAGATTAAAATTGATAATAATCATTACTAAGGATTCTGTACAGTTTGGTACAAGTGGAGGGGGAGATATGATGACACCATGTTACCGCACTGAGGAATACCAATCCTAATGACACTACTGGGTTTGGGCATCACAAATCGGGTTGGGAAGACTTGTTCCACTACATTAGTCACCTCCTTGAGAATTACTGTCATGCTGAACCACTGCTGGAAGTGGATCCTATCATTCAGTTTTGCTGCAGCAGAAAAAGGATTGCAAAGCACTGGTTGTCTGTTTGAGAGCAAGAGAGAAAAAAAAAAACAGCTGCAGTTGATTTGACTCAGACTCATGGTGACCCTAAGGCATTTGTTTTTTTCCTGACACCCGAGTTTACTCCACTGACTCTGAACCTAGATCAATACAGCAAAAGCAAACTACTTCTTTAAGGCCCCTTGGAGAATGGAATTTCTACCTTAAAGGGTTATTAAAAGAATACAATAAGAAAATGTATAACGAAAATATGTGTGTGGAGTAAGCACTCAAAAATGCTAGCCATAATGTAACTACGCATGTTTATGTACAGGATATTGTTGTTGTTATTGTTGTTATGTGCCGTCGGGTCGGACCCGACTCATAGTGACCCCTCCTTGGGTTTCCAAGGCAGTATCACTACAGAAATAGACTGCCCAACCTTCCTTCTGAGGAGGGGAACAGAATATAGTCCTGGACTTATACTCTAATAGACAAAAATAATGGGGCAGGATAGTTCTTAACAGGTCCCCGATTTGGCACCAGAATGTCATGAACCTCTTGAAATTGCATGCAGAATTCCGTGCTCATGTGTGTTGGTATATTCATACATGCATCAGGTATGAAATGAGTTCGTGACCCAAAATAAGCAGGAACCAGTAGGACAGCTAAGGTTTTTGATTTGGGAAAAACTAATTGAATGATGAGAAGCTCTGGTAGCACAGGGCCTAAAGCACTTGACTGTTAACCAGAAGGTTGGCGGTTCAAACCCACCAGCCACTCCTCGGAGGGAAGGTTGGGCAATCCTACTTCTGTAGGGATACTGCCTCGGAAACCCAAGGAGAGGTCGCTATGAGTTGGGGTCGACTGGACTGCACATAACAACAACAACAACAATTGAATAATGATAAGATAATGAAAGGCATCAGAGGGGAAGATCATCAGAGGGTTAGTAGAGATTACCAGTCCGAGGGACAGCCTGCTCTCCTTCATCCGGGAAGTCAGACTGGGCGTCAGGCAAGGCGTCGTCAACCTTCTCTATACCCTTTGGGTCCAGCGCGGACAGCAGGTCTCCCTCAGGTTACCTACAGAAACCCGCGCTTTGGGCGGAAGCCCGCCAATCCTCCTCGGAGGCGGGCGCCCTACACTGTGGCCGGATCTTGGGGGCGTGGCCAAGTCGGGGCGTGGTCAGCGCGAGGCGGGAAGGGGATTACACTCCGCCTACGGGGTAGGGACGTAAAGGGGCGGTGCTTTGGAGGGCGGTCCTGTTCGCCAGCTCTTCTCCCCCGCCTGAGGGCCACAGAAATCGAACCGGGAACAGAGCAGAGGGGATTGCTGCCGGTGGTGTGGAAGCGTAGAGGTGAGTGCTGCCCTCGCCACTTTACGCCGGGCGCCGTCAGTTCTGGCCCAGCACCTGCTCCAGGAATCTGCTGGGTCTGCAGCTGCTTCGGCGAGACCGAGGAGACGGGCAGGGTCGGGGCGGTGGATCCTTTGTCTTGCCACGACAACTGGTGCAGAGCAAACACTGAAGATCGGGAAGGCTGGTCTGAGGCTGGGGAGCAGAAAGCTAGTCCAGGGGCGCCGAGGCAGGGAGCAGGAGGCAGGGCCGAGGGGGCAGAAGCCGCGAAGGGGAGACCGGTCCGGGGGCGCAGAGAGCAGGCCGGAGGGTAGGAAGCCGGCCCGAGGATGCGGGGGAAGTTGATCGCGGCCGAGACCGCAGGATCTGGGAGGGAAAGAGCGGAGGATCGACTCCGGGAAATGGTGCCCTGAGGGTGCGCGGCGGTCGAAGTGCAGAGCTGGAGGTGCTAGTCTTCGGGATTGGTTCTGTTCAGACTTGGGGTTGGTCTCTTCTATCCTATGTGTCTAGTTAGCTTTGCCAGAGAGCTAATTTCAAGCGTTAAACTTCAATTCCATTTCAGACGTGCAGATTTCCTAGAATCCTTCATGTTCGTTCGTCCCTGTGACAATGTAAGCATGACCAAAGTCACTTAATATCTGCTTTGAGATCCCCTCAGGTCCTGTTGAGTAAGAGTTCCTTTCTCATATGAGTTACCTGTATTTCAATGGATCCAGTGGATCTACTCGCAAGCCTCACTCCCAAAGCGCTGCCTTTTCCCCATTCTCAGTAATCGTCAAGTAATCATCACTAAGTCTGGAAACCACACGTTATTCGTTTCACCTCTCGCCCATCCTGCCCATTTCCCAATCAGCCATAAAGCCACGGGGACCTTCTAAATGTCTGGCACATCCCTCCACTTCACTCCGATTTTAGCCACCCTAGCCTCAGCTGCGGGAAGAGCTCTAGCGGTGTAGTGGTTAAGGCATTTGGCTGCTAACCAAAAAAGTCAGTGGTTTGAACCCACCAGCTGCTCCTTGGAAGATAAATGGGGCAGTCTGCTTCCATAAGGATTTACAGCCTTGGACTTGCTATGACTTCATGGCAAGGAGTTTGAGTCTCAGCTACAGCAGTCTCCTCATGGATCTTCCAGGTAGCTGTGTCTTTGCCCTTAGGATAAATCCAATCTCTGTAAAATGGTCACATAGACACCCTACAGGACAGAGTAGAACTGCCTCATAGGGTTTCCAAGACTGTAAATCTTTATGAAAGCAGACTGGCCCTCAAGTGGCTGGTTGGTTAGCCGAGCACTTCAACCACTGCACCATCAGGCCAAACTCATTTTGGTTCCTGTGTTCACTCCCTTACCTTGTTTACCATTGCACTGTTTCATGTCCTGCCCTGCCTGGAACACTCTTGCATTCTGTCCCTACCCCATTCATTTTTGCTTGAAGAACACATACCTATCTTTCTATTCACATTAAACACTTAAAGATTAGGTCTTCCTGCTATATGTTCCTGTTGCCCTTGATTTTCCTAAGAGGGAAATGTTATATCCTTTGCGATATATTGTTTACTGTTTTCCATACTAGATTGTAAGCAAATTCCATGAGGGCAGGGACTTATATGTCCATATTGTCCTTCCCCATATCCAAGGCTTGCCACAAGTGAATGTCTCGGTGAATGCCCATCATTTGTGTTTTTATTACAGTGCTTTAAAATAATTATGCCTTATCTGGAAAAATAATCTGTTTCAGGATTATATAGGAAATTATAATGAAAAGATAGGGATTAGAAAGGAATAGTATAGGTGAACAATATGAATATGCAAGATAGCAGTACAAAGTGTTCAGCAAGGTCATTTGTTGTTGTTGTTATGTGCCATCGAGTGGGACCCGACTCAGCAACCCCTCCTTGGGTCTCCAAGGCTGTATCACTACGGAAGTAGATTGACCTAACACACAGTGACCCCACTTTGGATTTCCCACAGGACCCCTCTTTGGATTTCCGAGGCATTATCACTACAGAGGTAGATTGCCCCACCTTTCTTACGAGGAGTGGCTGGTGAGTTTGAACCGCCAGCCTTCTGGTTAGCAGTCAAGTGCCTTAGGCACTATGCTACCAGAGCTCCCTAGCAAGGTGATTAGACCACTCTTTATCAGAATGTGCTCAGCTAGTTTGAATGTGCTGGTGGTGACATGAAATGTAAAGAATGAAATGTAAAACTTAAATCTTCCTTGTCACAGCCTGATACTGAACTTTTGTTTTGCTTTACTCTTTTGCAAAAGGCTTTTGAAAGTGAGAATGTGTTTTAATGAATGAATTACTGTTCAAAGTAAAAGACATGAAACATTGTACCCAATTAAATCAGATTTTCTTTTTACCAGAGACTGATGTCTTATCTGATATAAACAATTACAATGCTTTTATACAGTCATGTGTTTAATATCCATGATACATTCTGTGAAATAGAATTTGTGATTTGGATGTTGTGCGAACACCGTATTATATATAGGCAGTCTCTGGATTATGAACAAATTCCATTCCTAAATCTCTCTTTTAAGTTGAATTTGTTGTTGGAATATGTAAGTTGGAATAAATAGGTAGGGCTTGTATCTGCATAAAAAACATTTAAGAAATACTTCTAGATACTCTAAAATATCTTTAGCATAATAGTATAGTAATGATCTTTGATGCTAGTAGCAGAGTAGCACCCATTTGTTATTACAAACCATTGTAACTTGAATTTTTAATGTAATAGGCTTTAAGGAATTGGGACCATGGTTGGAGAGATGATAGCCGCACATGACTATATTCTGCTTACAAACCTAAGTTAACTATGTTTTGCTTTCAAATCTATTTTAAAGCAATCTTTACTTTTATGAATGGCATTTACATTGATTCTGGTGCCTAGAATTAGACAGTTACTTTAAGCTCTGCCTCAGGGATGGGAAACAGTGGTCTTTGAGCCTAAAAAAGGTGTGGAGAGGTTTTAAGTTAAGAATGATTTTGTACACATTTAACAAATAACATATTGGAGGAGAACACATACTGTGTTGTCCTACTACTTGAGGTCAAGTTCCCAGGGTAACATTTACTAGCTCATCCATAAATTATGCATGTTGTTGTTGTTGTTGTTGTTATGTGCCATCTAGTTGGCCCCAACTCATAGCGACCCCTCCTTGGGTTTCCGAGGCAGTATCGTTACAGAAGTAGATTGCCCCATCTTCCTTCCGAGGAGTGGCTGGTGGGTTTGAACTGCCAGCCTTCTGGTTAGCAGTCAAGTGCCTTAGGCACTACGCTACCAGAGCTCCCAAAATAGGCATAATAAACATATTTCACAAGATGGTTGTAAGTATCAAATGAGATGTGTCTGTGACAATGCCTTGTAAATGTAAAGCTCTATATAATATTAGTTATTTCTTTGAATATTTTGTTTTTGCCTTCAGATATTGATTATTGTTGTTATGTGCCGTCGAGTCGGACGGACTCATAGCGACCTCTCCTTGGGTTTCCGAGGCAGTATCATTAAGGGAGTAGATTGCCAACCTTTCTTCCGAGGAGTGGCTGGTGGGTTTGAACCACTAGCCTTCTGGTTAGCAGCCAAATAAATGCATTAGGCACTATGCTACCAGAGCTCCTCAGATACTGATTATAAACCCCAAAACCAAACCCACTGCCATCAAGTCAATTCCAACTCATAGAGATCCCACTTGGGTTTCCAAGGCTATAAATCTTTACAGAAGTAGATTGCCTCATCTTCCTCCTGTGAAGCAGCTGGTGGGTTTGAATGGCCAGCCTTGTGGTTAGCAGCCAAATGCCTTACTGCTAGGCCATCAGAGCTCCATAAATATTGATTATAGAGCTTCTGAATTAGGGTAGAGTTAGATGAAGTTGAGGAGCCCTGGTGGCCCAGTAGTTAAGTTTTTGGCTACTAAGGGAATGATCAGCAGTTTAAACCCACCAGCTGTTCCATGGGAGAAAATTGTAGTAGTCTGTGTCCATAAAGGTTACAGCTTTGCAGACCCTTTGGGGCAGCTCTACTCTATTCTACAGATTTGCTATGACTTGGAATCATCTCAGTGGCAATGGGTAAGATGAAGTTAAGGAGCCCTAGTAGTGCAATGGTTAAGCAGTTGGCTGCTAACCAAAAGGTCAGCAGTTCGAAGCCACCAGCTGCTCTGTGGGAGAAAAGACCTGACAGGTATGCTTCTGTAAAGATAACACCTGTTATTGTCGAGTCAATTCCAACTCATGTAAAACAGAGTAGAATTGCCCCATAGCGTTTACAGGGCTGTAATCTTTAAGGAAGGAGACTGCCACATCTTTCTCCCACTGAGTGAGTAGTAGGTTTGAACTACTGAACTTTCTGTTAGCAGCTGAGAGCTCAACCATTGTACCACTAAGACTCCTTAGAACAATCTGTAAAGATTACAGCCTAGGAAACGCTATAAGACAGTTCTACTCTGCCATATATGGTTGCTATGAGTTGGACCCAAGGGCACACATCAATAACAAGATGAACTTACATGATGTACTATCTGGAATCTGCATTGTTGAGCCACCGTGGAATACTCTGTGAACATTGATATAAGCTCTGAATGAGGATAGGGACTTTGTTTCATCCATTACTTTATATACTCTAAGTGTGTACAGTGCTCTACATACAATAAGTGTTAGGTGAGTTATTACAGCATGAATGTTAAGTGAACAAATACTATTAACTCTGACTTTTGGCAGTTTCAAATCTTCTGCAGTCAGCAGGATTTTATTAATCAGTTAGTTATAAACCTGAATCTGATTCTACAGAGCACTGGTTCTCAATGGGCGATGGAGAGAGCATTATAGGCCATCTGTAACTTTTACAAAAGCCATCCAAGATCCTTCATTCTACATTTCTTTCATATAAAATGCTTAGGGCTGCAAAGACTTTTCTGTTTTCTTCTTGAATATAACAAGTATGATGTTTTTTGTTTCTTGGCTTTTGCAGCATAAATTCAGGGTTTTGGAATACTGGTGAGTGCTCCAGCCTGTCTTCCTGGTCCTGTGGCCTAAACTAGAGAAAAGAAAGAAACAGTTTTATTGTTATTTATTTATTTATTTTTGTGGTTTGGGTGAAAATTTACAGAGCAAATTCACTTTCTATACAGCAGTTCACATACACTTTGTCTCATGACATTGACCACAATTT